GCGACGCGGCCTCGCTGCTGGAGGTTGCGGCCGCGTGCCCGGCGGGCTCCTCCGTCCGGCGGTCGGCGGAGGCGGGGCGCTGGAGGAGCGGCCGCGCGGCGGCGTGCAGCTGGAGGAGGGACCCCATGGGACCCTCACGGACCCATCCAGCTCGAGAAATGATGCAGGGAGCTGGGGTCTTTGCCAGCCTCGAACGTATCCCTATCCCTAAGATTGACACGCCAAAGGGCGATGACAATCTTAGGGATCCGCCCTCAAAAAATAAGGGAATCCCTAAGATTGGCATCGTGATGAGGAGGTGCCCAGCATAAGTATAGGGATATGTTCCAGGCTGGTAAGGTCTGGCGCTCCGGGCGTGGTTTCTCGCGGCGCTGCAGTGGTTCTCGACACGCCGGATCTCAGGGCAGGGGGCCACATGCGAACATTACCCCTATGCCCCCCACGATTTCTGAGGGGGAGGGTGGGGTTCACCTCGCTCGGGAACTCCTGGGCGAAGTGAACCCCACCCTCCCCCCTCAGAGATCGTGGGGGGCAGGGGTAGGGTTCGCATCAAGCTAGCCAGCTCGAGCGAGTCAAGCATGGCATGCCCATTCCCACCCGCCCTCCCGCAACATAAGAAGCAGTGATGGCACAACTGGGGGCTGCGCGGGCATTTCAGTGCGAGTGGGGGATACCCCAGGACACCGCATTGACGTCCGCGGGTTCGCATGTGGCCCCCCACAGGGGACTTCTGATCTTCGGCGAGATGGATTGTGCAGTCCTGGCGTTTTCGTGGACTGCGGCCTCCGGGGCCCGTGCTCGGGCCCCGGGGCCATCAAGCATGGATCCGGGACGCCGAGCTACGTTTCTGTCGGGCCTGTCCCCCTCTACAGGGGGATTTTCGACGAAAAAATTAGAAGATACCCCACAAATTATCGAAAAATGCTCCAAACATAGCCTGGGGACGATTTTTAATGTATTTTTTTGTATGGAACGAGTTCGGCCCCTGGTTCCATCGCGCACACTCGCTGGCCCCAGGCAAACGCGGCGGACGCAGGCGCGAGCAGTCGCCGCGCCGCCGCTTGGCTCGCGCGCGCCGCGGCGCGCCGCAGGCGACTTGGGCAGGCCCGCGCGCCCCCGCGCGCGGCCGCTGCCCGCCGCGGCCGCGTGCAGGTACCACAGGTTTGTGTGTGCCTGGGGCGCGCGCCCCGCGCTCGGGATATGAGCGCGGGGCGCGCGCGACCGCGCGCGTTGGCCGTCGCCCCGCGCGCCGCCGCCTGCTCGTCGCTGCCGCGTGCCGCCGCTCGCCTGCTCGCTGCGTGCTGCGTTGCCCTGCGGTGCTGCTTGCCGCCGCCTGCCTGCTCGTTGCGTGCCGCTTCGCCTTGCGCCGCCGCCTGCCCCTGCTTGCTGCTTCCGCGCGCGCGCGCGCCGGTCTTCGCCGCGCTGCCTTCCTGCCCCTCGCGCAGGTCCCCTCCCCCTTCCTCCCGCGCGCGGTGCCTCCGCCGTTGTCAGGTTCCTTCCTCCCTCTCCTCTCCCCCCGCAGGTACCGATTCCCTCGTCGTTTTGCCGGGCTCGAAAAGATGCCAGGGCGACTTCCCGTTGCTCTGCTAGTGACTACGGGACCTAATTTAGGTCCAGTCTGCGTTTCGGCCTAACGAGGTCGTTGCAGGCGCGATTCGACGCCAACGCCGCATCCGAGCGCGGGCCGCGTGCGAACGACCGAACGTGGTCAAATTAGACGCAATTCGACGTCTACGCCGCAGCCGTCCGACGTTAGCAAGCGTACGACCGAACTAGGTCCGATTAGACGCAATTCGACGTCTACGCCGCATCCGAACGAGGATAGCGAGCGAACGACCGAATGAGGTCAAATTAATATGCAATTCGACGTCTACGCCGCATCCGACGAGGATAGCGAGCAAGCGACCGAACAAGGCCCGATCAGACGCAATTCGACGTCTACGCCGCATCCGAACGAGGGTAGCGAGCGAACGACCGAACGAGGTCAAACCAAGACGCAATTTGACGTCTACGCCGCATCCGAACGAAGATAGCGAGCGAACGACCGAACTAGGTCCGATTAGACGCAATTCGACGTCTACGCCGCATCCGAACGAGGATAGCGAGCGACCGACCGAACGAGGTCAGATTAAGACGCAATTCGACGTCTACGCCGCACGTGTGGCGCGCGAGCGCACTTCCGAGCGGGGGCTGTTCCGACGCGATTCGACGTTTACGCCCCCTCCGCGCACGCTTAGCGTGCGTCATTTAGGTGGCCAAACGAGGCCCGCGTGCACGCGGTCGGCCTCGGCGCGCGAGTTGCAGCCGAGCGCGGACAGAGTGCGCACGAGCGCGCCATGCGCGTTAACAGGCGGCGCCCACTCGCACCCATGGCGGATTTGCAAGTTTTTCTGTCTGGCGTCGGCGCGCACGCAAAGCGCGACGAGGAATGCCTCCGCGACGTCATTGCAGCACTTCACGCGAATTCTGTCACGGCGAGCGCCGCGCGCTTTCTCGGTCCGTCTGTCGCGCACAGCGCGTGCCAGGTTGAACAAGACCTAGCCGGGCTCAACATTCATGAGTGTTCGTTCGACAAGGGCGGCCTCAACGGTGGGAAGGTAGCCTTCCTCGACCGCGCCGTCAAGCGTGCCGCAGAGAATGCCGCCAGGGCGGAGGCGGGGCGCATGGCCGCCGCCCGCGGCGACGACGGGGCGGCGCGGGGGTCGAATGTCTCTGTCGCTGCGCTAGTGGACGCACTCGCGCGCAAGCCGACTGCGGCCGCGCACGTCGACGTCGGCGCGAAGCTGGGCGACGTCCGCCTGAGCGATTAGCCGTCTGCTTGCTGGCCGTCGCCGGCGTCGCGCGACTGGCTCGACAGCCAGGCGCCTACGCACGCGCGGTGCATCGCTCAGCGTTCGCACGCGGCGCTTCGGAGCGGCGCAGGTCAAAGCGGCCCAAGCGAAGGGGGTCGCGAGACCGTTCATTTACAGCGATTTGAAGAAGTGGCTGCCACACTGGGCGGTGGAGAAGCGCGGCGGTCAGGACGGCGCGGACGCGAACAAAGAAGGCGCGCTCTTTCGGCGCGCGCATTCTGGGCGGAGCCGCCGCCTCGCCAGGGCTGTCGCTCATGCCCTGGTCGGTCGCATTCGACCGGTGGGCCCTGGCCGCGAGCTTCGCGGGCCAGATTGAACTGGCCGCCGCGATGGCGCACAAGGACGTCGTCATGCAGATCGCACTGCAGGCGAACTCCCTTCCCTGGTCTCGCGGCCGAGGCCGGCCGCCGCCCGCGCGCGTTGCGGGCAGGCGCGCGGGGTGCACAAGTCCACAGCCTTGGCGGCCATCTACGACGAGCTGGCCAGGCGGGAGTGGGCCGATCGCGCCAGTGGCTCCAGCTCCTTTAACGTCAACCGCGACGCGCTGCAGCAAGAGCAGAGCCTGTGCATGCGCGCCGAGAGCGAGCACACGGCTCGCGGGCATCCCAACCTCTCCGATCGGCAGCAGAAGGGCAGCAGCAAGGGCGCCCCCCATGCGGAGTCCTAGGGGGAAGGCAAGGGCAAGTCCCAGCATGCCGAGAGCGACAAGGGCTGGGGCAAGTCCTGGGAGCCCAAGAGCTGGGGCAAGTCCTGGGAATCGCGGGCCCACGCGAAGGGCAAAGGCAAGCACGACGCAGCGCGGGGCACAGAGCAGCCGCGCACGCCGAAGCGCAAGCGCGAGGATTGAGGCGCGAGCACCGTCGCGCGGCCGGCAGCGCGCGCTCGCGCGCGGAAAGCGCGCCTGGGCTTGGCGGAGCGCGAGAGCGCGGGCACACCCGCGCCGAATTTGCCAGATGGCAGGTCTCTCTCTCTGCATCACAGGCGCGGCGCGCTTCCGTCGCGCGCGGGCGCCCCGAATCCTTGGGTGCCGTCGGCCGGCAGGCGCGGGCGCCAGTGACGACCTCTGGGGCAATGTGCCCGTCGGAAGACCGGGGCGCGCCAGTGCCTGACGGGCGGAACGCTGCAAGCAGTGCCGCGGCGGGCTCGTGGCTCCCGCGTTTTGAAGAATTGGCGCCCAGCGCCGAGGCGGAGAGCGCGGCCGCGATGCCCCGCGCATTCCGCGCGCCAGCGCCGCAGCGTCGCAGGGGGAAGACAAGGCAAAGATCGACTTTGTCATTAATGCCGCGTCGAAGGGCACGGCGTGGTTTCAAGACGCCGCGCCCCTGCACGACGATCTCCGCGCCTGTGTCGACTGGGCAAAGTCGCGCAGTTGCCAGCAGGCGCGACAGTCGCAACTCGCGCGCGCCACCCCGCACGCGCCGCGCGGCAGATCTTCAGCGAAAGGGAGGCCGCGATTACAGCCATAGAGGCGCGCTGCCGCGAGTCGAGACGTTCGGGGGCCCAGCGGGCCTGGCTGGACGGCGTGGACGCGGCGGCCAGAGCCGCAGTCTCCGAGGTCGACGGCCCGACCCTAGGCGCCATCGCGACCGAGATCGGTTGGGCCGACGACGTTGAGCGCCTATTCCGCGAAGGGGCGCCGTTCGTGGGCGCGCTGCCAGTCTCCGGCGTCGCCGAGCGTCGCGTGGCCCGCGAAGAGCGCGAGCCCGTCAGCGATCTAATGGGCCGCGCGGAAGCGCAGAATGCGGCGATCATTGCTAGTCTCCGCGACGACGCTCACGCTGCCGAATTGCAGGCTGGGGCAGTGGCGGACGCCGCACTCGGGCGAATGACATCGCCAGTGCCGATCGACGATTTGGCGCTGCACGATAAGATTTTGGCACCTCGCTTCTCAGTAGTGCAGGGGAACGAGCCAGACGGCCCCCAAAGGCTTGCGCGCCGCGCGGCCTGGCGTCGGCCGCGCCCGCGCGCCGCAGCGCAGGTGCGATGCGTCGACGATTATTCTCGCGCGAGGGTAAACGGCGCTACCAGCGCGGAGGAAAAATGGCGCCACGACACGATAGACCAGTTGGTTGCACTGGCAAGTGCCTTTCACGAGGGGGTGCGCCGCGCGCAATCCAGCCTGCAGCGGCGCGTCAATCCCGTGCGCGCGCGCAGATTTCGATTGACCTCGAATTTTGGAAAGCGGACCGGGACTCCGCCTTCAGGCGCGTGCCGGTCCTGCCTAGGCACCGCGCGGTC